TAGACGAAATAGTTTGTACTGTAAAGTAACAATACATAGGTTCTTTCGATGTGCCACTAACTGAAACAATTATGACGAAACGTTAAAAACTAATGAGCAAATTTAGACGAAAAATCAATACCCATAATCCTGGACATCAAAAATTGTATATAGTACAATAAAAAAATCAAAAACGAAACATCAAAAACTTCACAGAAAATATAAGCTGAAAAAAGTCGCGAGAAAATTGACAAAACGATGTTTTTTCTACAGTATCGAGGAAACTTAACTTTGAAATTGAAAGAACAACTTCAAAGGCCAAGCCCGGTATTGATCACTTTCACAACGCGCAAAACAAAAATTTGCCTGCCGTCGCTTAAGTCAAATTTTGATTGCAACCTGAAGTCTCATGTGGTTTATGAAAAATATTGAATGCAGTTTCACCTATGTTGGGCAAATGTGCCGACATCTAACAACACGAGCATCAAAAGAACGCTGTGGACAATCTAAGGCATTTGAATGGCGGTCAATTGACAAAAGCAATGGCGTCGAGAAGTTATTAACGTTGGAGGCCCTCCATAAAAGTAAACGCAAGCCGCAACTGAACACGCGCGACGAGTACAGGAGCCGAGAGCTCACACTAAAAAATTAGTCTGACATTAGGCATGTTAGCTTGATTCGTATTTTATTTATTTTTCGAATTAAAAAATGCCAAACTTTATTTATTTTTCAAATTAAAACATGCCAAATGAGTAAAATAAATTAATTCAACATTAGAAATAAATTCAAAAAGGTGAGAAAATCGGATAAAAATTCAGACACGTGCTGGAGAACGAAATATCTCCCAAAACGAAATTTCCAAAAATTCGTTTTAATAATTAGGTAAAATTCTTAGATACTCATAAACTTTAATATTAATCGTTTTGATTGTAAAACCTTTTGAACTGTAAATACTTAGACCTTTTAATTGTACATACGTGATGATGCTAGTTATAGCGAAAACGTTTGTACTTTAAATAAAAAATTTTTGACTTATAACTATTTTAAACTTATAACTTTTTAAAATTTTTTTAATGTCGTTCGAATCACGAATGAAAGGCTGTTAATATGATATATCACTCAACCCTGTCCAATAATTATTTGTGGTAGCTGATTTTGCGTTGAAAAAAATGTTGGAAAAAAACTAAAACGCACACCAATACAAAACTCCTCCCCATTTTCAATGGTCAGAACAATTAATTGGTCAGTATTCTAAAATCAGAAACCCATATAATCAAAATTAATTGAGTCGCCATGCGTGATCCTATAAACGGAGAAATTTGAGACGTCCGGGGCTTGATGAAAGATAAAAGAGAAAAATAATAATAGGGATTACTGCCATTTTCACTCAATAAAACACATTTTGAAAGTTAAACTAATGAATGCGTAAACTGACAGAAAAAGCCACTATAGGCAATCCCATTTCATCATGTTTTGGATGCCAAATCAAGCGGCATGTAAGCAATTCTACTTTTTTCAACCAAGTTTGAAGACATACGCAAAGTAACATTTTTTCAGTTCTCTCGATTAATTCAATTCTCTATCTTAATTTTAATTTTTTTCAGTTCTTTCAGTTGAAGGGAAATGAGCTTCTTCAGCAATTATAGTGCATCTTCGCGTGTTGTCTCATTACTTCTCGCGAGTTGTTCTCATAATGACATTTCCGGCATTTTAACCCAAAGATTCTGCCTCGATGATAGGCCTCGTGAGTTCGTGCACCTCGCATGTTAAACGCTACAAAATCACACAAATCACACGGTATATGCACTCCATCCTCTAAAGATCCACGACCAGAAGACGCCTTGACAGCCTGAACGAAAGGCGGACTCTCAATTTGCTCATGCTGTACCGTTTTATCAACATTTTTCACATTATTGTTCACGTCAAAGCTTTGCTGATTATTGTTCAGCATCGAATTATTTTTCCACTCAATCCAAGAGACAGGTTGTTGGATGAACGTAATCGGACTATCATGAATGGATTTCAAACGCAAAGGCAAGGATCTAGGAAGTACCGGAAACTTACTCCTAGCGAAACCTAAATTTGAATTAATGTTTGAATTTTCAGGATCGGAGAGCGCAAAATTTTCGAAAGTATTCTGGTTTTCTTCGTCCATTTTGTAGTCACCTGAGATTTCGTCTATAATCACTTTACTTTCCAGAAAGTCCGGTGTTTTATCGAATGTTTTCAACTCAGCGTAAGTTAGTTTATTTCCGTCTCTATCATCATTATCAGTATCAATGCAATCTGACGTACATTCAAGATTAATTTCCAAATTGGAGCTCGCATTACCTTGACAGTGTAACTTTTCACCATCTTCATCATCTAGATCTTTGATTTGCTCAGATTCTTTAGTCAAAATTAAAAAGTTTTGAGTACAGTTCAGACCAGATAAATTTTCATCTTTACTTAGTTGCACTTTTGTCAGTTTAAACAAACATTCTGTGATTTCGGTGTCTTTTTTTTGCACAACACTTAGCGAACTGCGCCCGCCTGGAAGGCCAAAGTTTTGCTGTACTTTTGGCACGCTGGGGTCAAACACAGGATTTGAGACGATCAAACTGCATCTATTTGCCGCAACGGTATCAGTTTCAGTTTCTGCAAAATTTTGCACTCTAATTTCATTTGACGTATTTCCGTTCGTTCTGTTACATTGCATGGTTACAGTTCCGAAACAAAGATTGAGTGTTTTCTCGACTAAGTGAAATTTGAACGCCTCTGAAGATACATCAGGCGTTGTTGTCCTGTTTGAACATTCGCTTGTTTTCAGAATCATGCTGACAATTACTTCATCTACATAAATGCACACATCGATCGGCATTGTTTTCCTCATACTTTTCCAGTTGAACTGAAAGAGCTATTAATTTGCTGATTTTTGGCCCAAGCCCAAAATGTTAACAAATTTTTTTTAAATGTTTTAATCATTTTTCTAATCAATTTTTTTTTACTGTTTCTGGAAAGTGCGATTGCATGAATCGGATGAAGAAAAAATTGTTCGAATGATTGATGATGATAGCTGAAATAAAATAGCAAGTAGATTATATTTTGGAGGCCAGCGTTGTTTTCAGATTCCGAGTTTTTTTAAATCCGAATAACGACTAATAGAACTTTAAAATGATACCTCAAGTGACGGCCCACAAACTTTTTTGAGGTAGTCAAAATCGGCTGGAGAAACAGATCGTAGAAAGATGCGATGGCAAAAAATGGCTTCATAAGAAACGTTTTGAAATTTGTAAATATGAAAAAAATTAAGACAAAATCGAAATCCAGAAAGGAAAAAATAAGTAAACACTAACAACAATTGCCGGTTGCTGTACAATTTGTTTTAAATAATAAAAACTTCACAGAAGCAAAGCTGCACTTCAAAAATTTCAGCGAGAAAATAAATAGGTCGAAAAAGAGAAAAAAATAACACTGGCATTAAACCTCCAGTCTGAAAAATAGAATACTACAACCTGAAAAGTTGCTTCGTAGTATTAAACTACGCTAAGCTCGTGTAAATAAAAAGGAAACAGATTTGTTTTTGTGCGGAAAAGCGCTTAATTAAGCTCCAAGAAAAAACTTTCCGCAGATTGAAACAAAATAATCCAAAAAAATATGGGTTTATTACAGAACTTTTCGTTTCTTGCTTGCTTTACTCGCACCAAAACAGACGAAAAATAAAAATATAAAAATATTTGAAAAACTGGCTCAATACCTAAATTTTTTATTCCGCTAAGAAATCTGGAATATTAAATCCACTTTCGAAATTGAAACGTTTTGCGTGACCTTAACACTTTTGCTGTTCGATAGTTTGCAATTGCCTTCCTTTTAACAGAGGAATTGAACTGAACTTAATGCCCTGAATGTTCCGACTGCCTTTTAAGGTTTATGGAGCAGTAATAACATTTAAAAATTCAATGAAATATAAAAAAATCAAAAAAAAAATTCTAAAGTTTGAATTTTTTTATGAAAATCATCCCCCCACACGCCATACAAAGTACAAAAGGATAGATTTCGCTCCTTGTAACAAACCAATTATGGCACATAAGCTTCTTTTAACCAATTTGGAACGATTTCTAAGACGGATTAACTCTCCGCTTACGCGTTAATAGCGCGAAATATACCGCTCGTTAATTGTCCCAAATTGGCCGAAATGACAATCTTTACACCCCCGTACCTTTACGAAAAATGATCACAGGTGAAATATCTTTTCAAATTTGAGCTCAGGACAACAATACCTTTCGAATGATGTAAAAAAAATTCCGTCAAAAATGGCTAGTTAAAAAGTCGAAATTTGTCTGAAAAAAAAAACCACCCCGAGCACAAAGATTCCGTTACTTTCGTATCGAAAGCCGGACCAACAAAAACCAAACCGCAAAAACAGTAAATTTGAGTCCTATATAGACATATATGAGTCTGAACTACATTTATCGACTCTTAATTAAAACCCACTTCTCAAATATAAAATTATTTCACGTTTTTTCGTGCCATTTACGCTTTCTTAATTGGAGAGCGTACTTAGCGCCAGCCTTCCAGAAAATTAATTTTGAAAGAACTTAAAAATAAATCAAATCACCAAATATCAAAATTCATTGTAATCAAATTTTTCCTGACAAATGAGAGAAAATCGATGGACTTTTTTATTTGCATAAAATGAGTGAAAAGAAAGCGCTTATAGAAAAAGCGACTTTTTCTGTAATATGGTCCAAAAATCCGCCTGACGTTCATGGAAGTTACCTGAAACACTTCATGAATTTCTCGTCGCAATGGGGATAGTTAAGGTACCTTGATCAAGAAATGTGAGAAAGGTCAAATGTCATGGAGACAAGTCAAATATCATTCCCATTTTAGAACTTATTGAGGCAATACTATCATAGGTAAAGGTCAAATTCACTTTTTCTCTTATAAAGGGCACCTGGTTTTCCTCATATCAGTAGAGATCGCATTCAATGCTAACAATATTGGGACTATTTGCTAAGATTTATTTTTAAAAAGAAACATAAATTGAAACTTTATTAAAGTATATACAAATTTCCTTTTGTTAATTTATACAACGCATAGATGTAGAACTTCAAAAATTGAGAATTATTGTTTAATTCATTTTCACTGGATGAAAGGAAGATAAAATAGATTAGAACTGATTTGATGTATTCAGTATTTACATAAATTTCAATCAGCGCAGTCTACAATATCTTCGCTAGCGTTTCATCATGATTTTCAAACACCGCTCATCCTAAGTACAGCAAAATGGTATTAGTAAATCATGCTCTTAACAATTTGTCAGATTGCAACAGGGTTTTTAAATGTTATGCTGACGCAAGCAATAAATGGCGGTAGAATGGAAGTCTAAGATTAAAGCACTAAAAGATAGTATCTCACAAGAAGACATTTAGCCTCAACCATTTTCTCAAATAGTCGAACAGAATAATAATAGCTCAGGTGGTGGATGGTAGCACACAGAGAACACAATCTGCAGCGAGCATGGGGTTGGAAATACTGTTATCAAATCTTGCTTTTACTTTTTAAGCTCCGCCGTACACTGACTGTATATTCGTCGCAACTTTTTTATATGTTTTTGCTGAAATGACTTTTGAGAACATGTTCTAGTTTTGAGGTTTCTCTGGTCCATGAAATTTCAGTGATGTTTCAGATGCTTAGACTGCATGTACTTCCTTCGCTTCAATTTCAACGTCAACGACTGTGGCTCGTCGTCTATTCCGACCTCGATGAGGAACGCGACGAACAGGAGCACGTGTTCGAATATGACGAGGAATGCCATCCTTCCGAACAGGACCTCCCAGTCAGACTTGTCCATCGAATCTGAGGACCTGTCGGCGTAGACGTCGTGTTTGTAGTAGCAAGTCGTGTTCGCACTGAAACAGATAATGTATTTTTGTTCAAAGCACCGGCATGGCGACAATTTACACCATTTAGAACAGACATCGACTGCAGCTGCGCGTTTTAATCCGCAAAAATATTATAACTCTTTCATGAAACATTCTATATTGAACTGTTTACCACCACTAGAATGGCCATTTAAAATAAGTTTTCAATGTTTTCTGACAAATTAGATGGCGACGAACTATCGCTTTATGACAAGGGTATACATTATCAACTACGACCATTTGTCAACTTCTGATTAAAAAATTGCTTTTAATTTTTCCAGATTCTCTACGGTAACTCAAAAATAACTCCACAAAAGGAGAGTCAAAAATCAAATTAACCGACAAATTGGAAAGTTAAAAATTACCCTTCAGTGTGATTTTGCACAAATCAATGCAAAATGAATGGTTAATTTGGTGCATTTTTCAGTGCAACCAACTGACCATGGTCAAGGAACTACCGGAACTTTGACCACAAAAGCCCAAATGTATATTTGGATCGGTCGAATCAAATTGCCTCACGATATTCCCCGTTTCAGATTCAATAACCTCTTCGGATCTTCCAGACGATTAAGTTGCGAAAACTTGTATTTGCGTCTAACTAATAACCTCGTAGCAACCATGCAATGCGTTTGGGGTTCTTTTGACGATGGTGCTCGTTATTGGATACCATAAGGCTATTGTTCAGTTTAGCTATGAGCGTGATTTTGATGTTCCTTCAGATTTTAAAAAATTGTAAATTGCGTGTACTGATGTGATTAATTTCGTGCACTGATGTGTCCATGTTTTAATACCAAATGAGAGGCACAATAATCACTATACAAATCAGTAACATTATCATTACTCAAAAAATGCAGTAGCTTCAGGTCTTATCCTGTCACATTTAATAATCATTCCAAGTGGCTGAAATGGTTTGAATTACGTCTCCAACTACTAGTTTTTTACAGCCGTATCAAAAAAAATGTGAATCAATTTCAGTGTTCGCCGTAGAAATTCGATGTCCCGATGTTTTCTAGTCACAGCTATGTTTCAAAACGACAAAAGATTAATCTACAAATTGCGAGCAGAAATTCAAAAGAATTGCCTCTTTAGGTTTACGAAAATTTTCAATTACAGAATCGCAATGCCGTTTCGATATCTAGCAAAAAAACTGCTGATTTATGTGCGAAAGGAGTCAAAGCATTTCACAATCTCTAAAACACTAAGGCCTATTGGCTTGTACCACTTTTTAATATCCCAGTGGTGGAAAACAGTGCAAATCACATTACTCTAATTATAGAGCTCATTGTTTGATTTCGGAGGCGCTGTATGCCTCCCACTTTCTTTTTCAGTAATACTTCTCCCATGGGGTATTTCTTTTAAAACGAGGAGGGTCTTAAAAATAAAGAGTTTAATATTCCAAAAGCATTTCAAGGGTTGCATTTGCAATCAGAGCATGACTTCAATTTGAGATAACTCGCTCTCAAAACCATCGAATGAAACAAAAAAGGCTATTTTTAAAAAATTTCAAAAAAAAAAATACTTTTCGACGTACAACTTTCAATTAGTTTTATGTGCTTCTAAACACTTGCAAAATTTAGACAAATCTTTCAACAAATTGCAAAAAATTTGTCATAAAAAAAAACGAAAAATCAATAATAATTTGGATTATAAATTTGAGGATGGATTCGAATACTGCAAAACAACTATCCACAAAAACTGGCAAAAAAGGCGCATTAAACAACACCAGCTCACTATCTTCAAATTGACTGCAAAATTTGCTTCCCTGGACAAAATATCCGATCACATATACTCCCAATTTGAAGATATTGAGTTGGTTTTTTTAATTGTCCGTTTTTGCCAGTTGTTTTTTGCATAGCTGTTTTGCAGTAGTTGAATCAGCCCTATTAATTATAATCCAAATTATTGTTGATTGTTCTTTTCTTATGGCAAATTTTTATGCAATTGATTTGTAAAAGATTCGTCTGATTTTTCGCACTGAACAGAAACTAACACGCAATATTTCAAAATCAAACAAAAATGAAAATCAAATGTATCAAAATGAAGTGACGCGGAACTTCGCACCACTTGCGATATCAATCAACCACAGCAAAAAAAAAACTAGTCGGTAAAAAAGTCAAAAAAAAATCATATAAAGATTTGATATAAAGCTAGATCTCCTATAGTTAGAAAAGTATTTGACTCATTTCCTTCCAAAACACATTCCAATTAAGCCAATTTATCGTCTAAGTTGTATCAAAAAAAATTACAAGCTGTAACAAAGCCTACAATACTTGAGCAGACACCCGTTTAGACGAAAAAAAAAACATTTTTGAGAAACTTGAAAACTCGAAAATACGTTTTCAAGAAAAGACTAAATTCACAAAAACACACACGAATCAGACACTTATTTAGCTCATCAAAGGCTTCAATATATAGTCACTAAGCCGATAAAATCTAAGCCGAATCCTTATTTTTCAAAAAACCAAAATTCTACCAAATTGAAGCTGATTAATTTACAATGAAACGGGTATTTAAAATACATTTATGCTCAAAATTTGTTGACTGACAAAATTACATACTCAAGAAAGTTAATGAGAAAATAATTCAGAGAAGCTTTCGAAATTCAAAGAATAAAAATATGGCCTTAAATTCTTTAAACTTAAGCTGCAATTTATGATTGCATATTTGACACAGGAGGTGAAGCGGAGGTTCGCACAAGTTTCAATATCACTTAAAATTAGCATTGGAAGCTAGCGGACTGGAAAAAATAAAACTAATTCCGAAAAAAAAATTGAAAAAACCCCAACTGAACAACTACAAATTCATGTCGAATAATTTTCTATTTGAGGAAATATATACAGTATGGCAATCAACGTCGTTTAATGAAATTCATAAATATATGGAGCGGCAACTGAGTCAAAAAAACCTTGGGTACAATCCCGCTGAGCCAAAACAAAATTGTTTTCACGAAAAACTTCTATTCTGAGATTTTTAGCTTTTGCACGATCCAGAAAGGACCGTAAAAATTATTTTTCCCTCAAAACTATCCAAAATTAGGTCACTAAGCTGAAATAGTTTGGGCCAAATAAAGTTTTTAAGAACAGAAAAACAAAACAAAAAATGTCAGATGCAGGAGTAAATAAAAACACTAAAAGCAATTTTAAAAAATTGCACAGCGAAAAAAATATATAAGATGTGGCAACAAGGCCGACAAAACATGAACTGACAAATCATAGGCCTACAATGGTTTTTGAACAGGAAGAACTCCTGTTTGAAAAAAAAACAGGCCATGGTCAGATTCAAACTCAGGACCACTGCAGTCCCAGGCGTATTCGTTATCTCCAGACTAAGTTAGCAGACTAAGAAAGCCGGAGACGCTAGATAACTTGAAATCATTATATACCAGGATACCAAATGATTCTATTGATTACATTTATATCCGGAAAAAGTCTATGATGTACGTACTGAAATTAACCCAATTTGAGAAAACTGGATCAATAGTTTCATAGGTGAACACATCGCGCGTAACAATGCAGTTTTTTTGGCAGTCAGTCAATTTTTGTAATTTTTTCAAACACTGAAATCAAAACCAATAGGTCTTCATTTGATAACACCCTTGAACCATTACGAGCTTTCTCTGAGGTGAACACATCGCGCGTAAAAAACCTAATTTAAACACATAGGCGAAGCGGAGCTCCGCATCACTTGCGATAAAAACGAAAGGATAGCGTTGTATGCTACCAAATAGTCAGTGAGACAGAAATAACAGAGTCGAAAAAACTTGAAAAACATTTTTTTTTCTGGAAATACGAAACATAAGACCTCAGAAAAACAGACGAGAAATTCAACCATTGGCTTTAAACAAGCTTTCAGCAATTTCCGAGATTTAACAAAGCCAAAACCATGCGGCTAGATATCCATTGATCTGAAACCAAAAATAGTAAAGGAGTTTGTCCTCAAAAACTTGAAAAAATCAAAAATTCAATCTGAGAAAAACAGATGGGAAACACAAACACTGTCAATAAGCATGCTTTTAGTACTTTCCGATCGCCCACTAAGCCAACAACACGTGGTAAGAGCCCAATCGATCCGAAAACAAAAAAGGCCAACGGATATATATATATATGGTCATAAAAGACCAACAATTTGCTTTGGAAAAACGAAAAATTAAATCTCACAAAAAACAGACGAAAAACAACCATTATCATTAAACAAGCTTTTATATTTTACAAGCATTTACTAAGCCGACAACACGTGGTTACACGCCAATTAATACGAAAAACGAACACAAACAATGCAAAAGGAATTTGTTTGTTACCATACGTTAATACTTTCATACTACCAACCGAACTGATTTATTAACAACAAGAATAATCATTTTCTATCTTCAAAGCGATGTAAAACAAGTTTACTTAGCCTACAAACCAAGAACCGAAATCATTCAGGCCGAACAAAACTTCTACGGGAAAAAAAACACAAAAAAACTACAGTAGTTAAAACTACAGTAGTTAAACAACCAAACTTGAGACTAAAATGCTAACTGATTACAGCGACAAAAAAAGTGTGGAATGACACCTAAGCCGAAAAAACATAAGCCGACAAACTATAATTTGACTAATCAATTTTCACGGAAAAAAATTCAATTTCGGGCACCGAAAAAAAAAATCCGGCCGGAAATGGAACCCCTGACAATAAATTGAAGAAGCAACTGCTTAACCTCCCGACCAAATGCGATGGGGTCTGGAAGATGCAAAGGTTTGATAAAAAAGCAACATCAATTACAATTACAAATGTGTAAGAAAAGTTGTTTACGGGGAAAAGTCTTGTTCCCGATTACAAGACACTTGCTCTCGCAAGTGTAATATAAAACAACTGGTAAGCCCGTCTCCCTTAACCAACCGGCTCGAAAAAAAAATCATTTATTTTGAGAAAACTTTTCGAGCAAAAAACTTTGAATAACTTCAAGTTATTGCATATTGTGAATCGTAGCAAAACTTTAGGTATTTCGA